TCAGCTCAGCTCCATCTTGAATCAGCTCCATCTCAGGTCAGCTGTAGTGCAACTAGGCAGTACATTTCTGACCCAACTCAGCTCCATGTCCAGTTCCGTATCGGATCTGCTCAATCTCAGATAGGCTTTATCCCAGGTCAGCTCCAACACAGTCATCTCTGCTGCTCTTTGTTGTCTCAACTTCGCCCACCTTGAATCGGGTCTACCTCTGATCAGCTCCACCTCGGATAAGCTCCTTGGAATACCTTCAACTCTGATCAGCACCATCTTAACTCTTTTCCATCTAAACTCAGATCTGTCTCAGCTCAGGTTCATTCACAGGCCTAGACCTCTTTTTCTATTCATATCAATGCAACCATGTGGTAGGCTCTCTTTGTATTTTATCTTGGCAGCTCTTCTTCATCTCCCATTCAGTCTCATTTCTTCTGCCCCAGCCATTGGGTGGTCCACCCACTTGCTGACTCCATCTCTTATACCCCCTCAAGTCAAACACTTTATCTTGCTTCCAGATGCCTTTTCTTCTCAGGATTGTCCTCTGCAGCAGTTCAGCTGTGCTTGTTTTGACCGCTGCCACTCCTTCTCTCCTGGGTCAACACTGCATCTCAATGCAGAGGATTTCCTTCAATACACTTCCTTCCCCTTCCCCCTTAAAACTGTCTTGTTTGTGAAGATGTCACCTGTGCCCCTGGGAACCTGCTGCTCTTCTAGTTATTTCAGCCACTCTTCTGCCACCACCGATTTTACTTCCCTCATTTTGCTGACTTCACTACATACCATTCAGGCCTCAGTCCCTGGGAGTCTTGTCTTTTATCCATCACTGGCCTTATCAGGGCCAAAATTTCAAAGTACTGATTCTCATCCCCCCTCATAACAACATGAACAACATCAACAACCATGCTGCCTATCATCACGCCCATTTATTAACTCCCATACGGAGTCATTGTTACTCCGTGTTTCTTGTGATCTGCATTACTCTTATCAAAACCTCCTTACCTACCATATTTTACACAACCTTCATAATCCAGTGTCGACCAGAGGAGGATGAGTTGCCTTGTTGAGTCTTGGTTCCTTTCAAGGTTTCTTCCTTGCATCACAGGAGATTTTCCTTGCTACTGTCACAATCAGCTTGTTCATCAGGGGTTCAGACCTGGGTGTTTACTAAGCAGCTCAAAACCATGTCACCGCCAAACCACATAAAGCCTAGCATACTATGCCTAACTTAAATACCCAAATGCCAGACCATCTGACTAACCCCTTGTTCTAAATCCAGCTCCACCATATCCCACTGGCATTCACTCATACCAAGTTCTCTACCCAAACTGCTACAGGTTTTGTCACTGCTTCAGAATCAGCTCTTACAGAACAGAGATTTCTGGATCACCATTTTTCTCATCATGTGAAGTTCTGTCAAAATTACTCTCATACACCTTACTATTTCAATTCTATTCTATTTCAATTTCAGTTTTTTTTGTGTCCAGCTTGCTAGCAATTGGCAGAAGCCACCCAGAACACCAGACCAAGTTCTCAGAGTTCTCTCCCCTCCCTCAATCCCTCAATCTTCCCTCACATGACCAACACAGGATGAAGGCATTGTCCCAACTCACAAAACTGCCTGTGGCTATTATGCCCGCCACGGTGTCATCTGCAAATTTCAAGATTTTCACAGCTGGTTCCTTAGAGACATAGTCATTTGTGTAGAGACTGAAGAGAAGGAGTGAGAGCACACTATCTGCTGGTACTACAGGTTTGAGGGTCCAGTGGTCTGATGTGTTTTCCTACCTGCACCTGCTGTCTCTTGTTTGTTAGGACATCCATGATCCACCACCAGATGGGAACTGGCACAGACAGTTTGACCTGCGACAGCTCTGGCACTATGGTGTTGAATGATGAGCTGAAGTCTACAAACAGATCTCTTGCTTGGGTTCCAGGACTGTAGCTTAAAGTGCAGGGCCAACTTGGCCCTGTAAACTGGGCTAGAACCACATGTTCAAAGACCTCAGATGCCAGGGCCTCTGGCCTGTAGTCATTTAGTTCAGTAATGTTTGTGTTTTGGGGGCTGCAATGATGGTATGTGTTTTGAGGCATGTGGGAACAGAGCAAAGTTCTGGTGATTTATTGAAGATATTTGTGAAAATTGGTGCTAGTTGATCAGAGCAGTGCTTTAGAGTAGATGGATAGACAGCCTCAGAGTTTTTTTTCACTTTCAATCTGCTGAGAAGCCTTGTGATGTCCAGCTTATTGACGCTGAGATGAGCAGGGGTTAGAGGTCAAAGTGAGGAAAGAAGGCAGGAAGTTTTGAAAAACTCGCCAAGAAATGTTTTACCTGATGCTCAGTAAATGTTTCCTGCTCCAACATAATATAGATGACATTAACTAACAAAAATAAACCCCAGATTTATGAGTGTTTCACAGAGGCTGCCATCTGCGGTGCCATCTTGGTACATGAATAAGAGTGTGTGATGAAAATCTGAAGGTTGTCTGTGTTTATGCTGTTCAGACACTGACATGGACGTCTACAGATGTGGAGAAATGCACCATGAGGGGCAAAAACACTGTGAGTATACCAACACTGTCTATCTGTCAGTCAGCCTCTGATTGAACACTCTCAGTTTCTCTCTCCCTCTCTTTTTCTCTCTCCACTCTCACTTTCTATATCACTCAGCCTCTGATTGAACACTTACTCTCTCCCTCTCCGTCTGTCTTTCTCACTCTCCATCTCTCTCTCTCTCTCTCTCTTTTGCCATCTCTCTATCATAATTTCTCTCTCTCTGTGTAATCAAACGTAACCTAATATCACTTATTTTCTGGGTGTGTTTTCAGGATGAGTGTTATAACTACATCAAAGTTTTGGTTCTTCGAAATGATGAAACGCTCTTTGCCTGTGGAACCAATGCTTTTAACCCAACATGCCGTAATTACAGAGTAAGTGTGAGTGAGTTCTTCTTGCAGTGAAGTGAAGCTGCAGCTATTTCCGTTTCTATGTCATGAATTGGCTGCCAGCTAATGCTCAGTAGTAGTAGTAGGAGCAGTTGTGGACGAAGTACACAAACCATGCACTTAAGTATCGAAAGTAAAAGTACTAAAAGATTAATTATGGCTCTGATGTCATGTTATCATTTTTGTAACCAGACTCGCTTCATTAACACATTTTAGGTGAAGATACTCCAGTGTCACTCTTGGCAAACCAGTCTTTTAATAGAGTCATTAATTAGTGACGCTGATGTCTATTAAAATTATCATCAGCACAAAACACTGAAGGCAAACAGTTTCCATCAAGTAGAACTGAGTGGCTCTGAAATCACTTTTTACATGCAAGCAAAGTTTCAGTTTAAGATTTATTTGCAACTTAGTTACAAATTTAAGTTTAATAAAAACTTTAATCTCAGATTCACAAATGAGTTTCCTTTACTAAACTGCATCTGTAGGTCTCTGTTCATAAACATAAACTAGCCAAAACTAATTTACTATAAAATGAAATAGTGTTTGTATAAATTCAGAAAAAAGCCACGTCAGTCACAACTGCATATGTGTACATATTTCTATATTGTGGTCTGTTTCCACAAAGTTAGGTTAGTTCATCATTTATGTTGAATAGACTCTCCCAAAATTTTACTCTGCTGCACTGATGTTGAACCGTGTGCTGCACTGGGTCGGTATGACCAACAGGTCAAAACAAGCTCAAAACTAAGTGCGCTGTGCTCTGATTGGTGTTCTTGCTTCACGCTTTTTTTGTTTTGACATGTTACGTTTTTATACACACACATAAACCAAAAGGAGCAACAGATTTCTCATAATGTAGTTCAGTAAAAAGTGAGATATTTGACTTTGAAATGTAGTGGAGTGAAAGTAAAAAGTTACCCAAAATGGAAAAACTTCAGTACAGATACACAAAAAAACTACTTAAGTACAAAAACAAATTACATTTACTTAGTTACTGTCCACCACTGAGTAGCAGTAATAATAGTAGTAGGAGTAGTAATAGTAGTAATCATTTTAGGGTTGGGTTCGAATATAGAATTGGGTAAAATATGAAACCAGATTAGTTCAGCAACCTATTTATGTCTCATAATAAAATTTAATGAAACATCTCTCAAACAATCCTAAAACTACTTATAATTACAAAACCACAATGAGTCTGAGTCCAGTCTGGTAGAATGATAAATTGTGAGGCTGAGACGAGCAAGGTAAAGACATCCACAGTGGCAAACAGTAAATTAAAGAAAAAGAAAAGAAAAACAAAACAACTACAAAAACAAACTGAAACAAGAAACAGAGGAATAAAAACAGAAGAAACAAACACTTACAAGGAAATGAGCTTGTAAAATGATTTTCACAGATGTACTGAAATTTGCAGTTGCGTTACACATGAAATTCAGATTCACAAATACATAAAATTCACAAATGCGTAAAAATAATTTTAATATATATTTAATATATATGTATAATAATATTGTTGTGCACCCATTCCCCTGACCCAGGTGATGGCCGCGAGAGCCAGCTGGAAGGCGGGGCCTGAACTCTGAGTGAGGATGAAGCCCCACGAGGACGATGGGGAGAGGTGAACCGCTCAGGAGGCGGGGCCCGGGACTCCAAGGGGCGCCATCCCCCACTTTCCTCGCCCTCCTCGCAGGGCTTCATCCTCACCAAAATCTTTTCTATATATTAAAAATATTTTTATGCATTTGTGAATTTGATTTTTTTTTTTTGTTTGTTTCATATTTGCAGATTCCAAATTACCTGTGAATCTGGATTTTACGTGTATGTAGTTTCAGTACATCTGTGAATATCATTTTACAAGCTCAAAATCTTTTTGATCCTTTTTTTGACTCCATAGTTTGTGTGTGTAACAAACTGTTTCTGTCTGTTTCTCTCTTGGTCTCTCTCTCTCTTTCTCTCTTTCTCTCTCTTTCTCTGTCTCTCTGTCTTTGTCTGTCTGTCTCTCTGTCTGTCTCCATGTCTGTATTTCTCTGCCTGTTTCAGTTGTCGTCTCTGGAGCAGGTGGGGGCGGAGCTGGTTGGACAGGCCCGATGTCCTTTTGAGTCGCACCAGGCCAACGTGGGAATATTTGCAGGTAAAAAACAGATTCACTTTCCACTCAGTACACTTACTATCAGAATACGGCACAGTAAAGTACAAATACTGCTGTACTAATATCAGTTCTATATAATATAAATATGGCTGTACTAATATTAGTACTATGTAATATAAATAATGCAGTACTAATATCACTATTGTATGTAATATACACCATATAATATAAATCCTTCTATATTACAGCCAGTAGTGCTGGTGTATCGGTCTATAGGCCTGTCACTACACCTCTGAATCATCATGATGATGATCTCCATGGACTGTCTACACCTCATCCACACCAACAGATTCACTCTGATCTTACTGCACCTTCGATCCAGCAAATCTATAGTGACACATACGGATTGACAACTTGTACATCTCATATCCATATCTTATATAATCTGGAAGATTTCTATATCAGTGTTCTCTCCCTGTGTACCTGCATCTCATTCATTATCTACCTCAGACTATCTGCACATACGGAATGTGTACAACAGTAAATATGATAGGTCTATTTCACAGCTTATTACTGTACAACTGTACATTGGAACAGTGCAATAATAGAGTATCTTGTGTCTGTGTGTATGTATTTAGAGTCTAGGGTTGTTTATATATTTCTTATTTCTTCTTATATATGTATTTTTTTATTTAAATTCTATAAGGGGGCTACACATCTAAGATTTTCACTCACCTGGCACGTGTGTAAATGTGATGTGACATTAAACAGATTTGATTTGATTTGGCTAATGTCAATAACATGTAACATAAATAGTACTGTACTAATATCAGTATTTACAATATTGTATAATATAAATCCTGATATATTAGCATCATCACTGTATCATATACTGCTGCGCTAATATCAATATTATAATTATAATTATTATACTTAGATATTATAAATATTACTGTACCAATATCAGTATTGTATAATCTAATTTGTTCTTTATTAATACCAGAATTGTATAACAAATCTTGACATATTAATATTTACATTTATCATTAGTGTATCAATGTGCAGCTCTTACAAAGTCAAATACACACACTGTACCAAAGTTTTCTGAGCAAGTGTGCATGTTCCTAGGAGGTCACTTCTACTCTGCTACGATGTCAGACTTCCAGGCCAGTGACGCAGTGATCTACAGGAGTTTGGGAGGGGAGGGCAGTCCAGTCTTGCGCTCCATCAAATATGACTCCAAGTGGCTCAGAGGTACAAAGCACAGAACAGGCCAGATTGAGGGGCAGAGTGGCAGGGTTAGTAGGGTCAGCCCCTGTTAGACTGGCAGGCCTAGTAAGGCCAGCAGAGTTATGACAGGTTTTTATTAAGGGAATCAGCAGGGTCAAAAGATCAGTAGAGTCAGTATAGCTAATAGGATTAGACAGGGGAAAATGGCAATATCATGTAAAGGCAGGATTACACTTGTCTAGCAAGGTTACACTGGGCAGACTGGAAGGGTCTTTAGGGCCAACCAGTCTGTTATACTGAGTCTGTTATACAGACTGTCAGTGTCAGCAGGTCAGTATGGTTAGACTAGGCCAGCATAGTTTCACCATGAAGACTAGCAAGTTTACACTGAACAGATTCTCTTTTCTCACTCTTATTTCTCTCTATCCTCCCCTTTGTCCTTCTTTAGAGCCTCGATTTCTACATGCCATTGAATATGGTAGCTATGTTTACGTCTTCTTCAGTGAGATCGCTGTGGAGTCTATGGCTCTTGGGAAGGTAAAACATTGGCTTTTATTTGTGAAAAAATAAGTGTAACACATCACAGTACTAGAGGCAATGTGAGTCTTTATTAGGCTGAAAAAAGAATGCAGAGTAACTTTGAAATACAACACAAGGAACCAAGAGAAGTAGGATCTAGAAAAAAACAGGGCAGAAAGAAACCAGAAAAAAATAAGGATCAAGGAGTTCAGATTGTCATGTGAATACACCACGTGTAAGACTAAGGGTTAGATAGGGAATTTAAATACACAGATATAGCTCTATAGATTACAGGTGGCCACAATTACAATTACAAGCCAGACCTTCAAACAAGACACAGGTGACAAATAAAATAATGGGGAATATCTGAATGGGTCAGGGAATCTGGCTGGGTGTCTCAGGGCTGTTAGACAGATTTGACATCTCAAGGCTGTTGGGCAGAGTAGTCTCCTGCTTGAAGTCAACTGAACTCAAGACAGCTTTGGAGGCAAAACATTCTCTAATGACAGGTCTGCTGACAACACAGTCAGCTTGGCCCTCCACTTCATTCTACAACATCTCGACAGTCCTGGAACCCAGAGTAAAGTTGTGTTTGTGGACTTCAGCTCAACATTCCTCACTAAACTGCCAGAGCTGCTGCAGGCCACCAACTGCCAAGCAGGAAATAGTAAGTCAAGTGAGGTCAAATCAAAGCTTATTTATATAGGGCTTTTTACAACAGGCATTGACCACATAGAATGGGCAGTTGTTCAGCTCAGCAGAGAAACACACAGACAGTTGGTTCTGATAAGACTGATTACAGTACACAGTGTTAACGGAGAGCAGCAGAGACTCCAGCAGGATGAACTATTACAGCCTCACTAAAATGGAGAAACCAGAAAGTTAACAGAGTCATGAGGCTCCCTGAGATGTCGGCCCCCCTCCATTCCCTCGTCAACTAACCTGAGTGAACACTTGAGCAGCGGGACGACAGCCCCTAACACTCCCAGTTCACCATAATACTCTATGACCATGAACCCCAGATCGGCACCTTTTATCTAACAGGGAAAATTAATCACCAAAGGTTCCACTAAACAAGTGAGTTTTTAGAATAGACTTAAAGACTGAGGCTGAGTCTGAGTCCCGAACACTGACTGGAAGATTATTCCAAAGCTGGGGGGCTTTGTATGAGAAGCTCCGCCCCCTCATGTAGCTTTATTAATTCTAGGTACTAATAGTGAGCAGCACCTTGTGATCTAAGTAGGCGTGATGGTTCATAGTGAGAGAGAAGTTCACTCAGGTACTGAGGGGCGAGTCCGTTTAGAGCTTTATAGGTCAGTAAGAGAATTTTATAATTGATGCGAAATTTAACTGGTAACCAGTGTAAGGTTAATAAAACTGGGCTGATATGGTCGAACTTTCTGGTTCTTGTAAGGACTCTGGCTGCAGCGTTTTGGACCAAGTTGATCACCTGATTTGGTCAGTTGTGTGTCATCAGAGTAGTAGTGGAAATTGATGCCATGTTTACTGATAATGAGTACCCAGTGGTAGCAATCACTGAGATCTGAACCAGGAAAGAACTATTCCTGTTACTGTTAAGTTTTTCTATTCTATCTAGAAGTAAGATACGGTGGTCTGTCTTCACCAGTAAATATACATCACCTTGTTCAGAAAATGATAACAGATCATTTACAACTTTGACTAACGCTGTCTCTGTACTATGACGAGGCCTAAATCCACATGGAAATTTCTCATGTATGTGATTCCTATTGCTAGTTTAAGAGTTTTCGGTATGTAGCCAATGCTAAGAGAGGCGTTTACTATTGACAGAAGTGGCTGCACCAAGAGGTGCGGCTAGAAACACACGTCAGGCCCTCGGACCCTCAGTACCGAAGTACCACAAGGTTGTGTTCTCTCACCCCTGCAGTGTCTACCTGATCTGTATACATACAAACATTCATGTCTGCGCATTTACACTCTCATTTGTACAGATATCTACACATGTCATATGAACATCTCCTGAGCTCATTTCACTCTGGCTCTGCTTTATTATTATTCTTTATTCTGTATCGTAGTTTCTGTATTTTATTTTACTTTTCCCTTAGTTGAATACTTGTTAATAGTCTGTATGCTGTCTGGTCTGTTGAGTATGCTACATGTCTTATATGCATGCACTCACCAAGACAAATTCCTTTTATGTGTAACATACTTGGCAAAATAAAATGATTCTGATTCGGATAAGCTTCAGACTAAGGCACAGAATCAGATTGAAACTTTAAGAAGGCGCCTGGGAAATCTTCTTTGGAGAAACCTGAAAAACACCTTCCACAGTCGTAGCATCTCTCACTTTGGTCTTGACCTTGATCTTTCACCTTTTCAGGAGATGGCAGGTATTCCAAATAGATGAATAATAAACCCCTGTACATGCCTCTGGATGTTTCTGAAAAAAAAATAATAATAATAAACTGCTAAATCCCCTTAAAAATCAATTAAAAGTATTTAAGGTACCAAAACATCTGAAATATCACTTAATCACTTATTTTTTATATTTTTGATATACTTTAGTTATTTTTGTAAATATTATGCTTATAGACCATTTTGAAAAGAGTCATTATATGATTGTATATATATATATATATAAATTAAACCTTGTAGAAACTTTGTGTAACACTGTGTATACTGTGTGCGTCTGCAGGTTGTGTACTCACGAGTTGCGCGTGTATGTAAGAACGACAGTGGTGGGTCTGCGCGAGTGTTGGAGCGCTACTGGACATCGTTTTTAAAAGCTCGACTGAACTGTTCAGTTCCTGGAGAGTCCATCTTCTACTTTGATGTGTTACAGTCAATTAGCAATGTAATCCAGATTAATCAGCGCCCTGCAGTGGTGGGAGTGTTTACTACACAGAAAAACAGGTACATAAATCACACACACAGACACATACTAACACTCACGCTCCTGTTCTTAGCCCTGTGTGTGTATGTGTGTGTTTAGTATCCCAGGCTCAGCAGTTTGTGGGTTCTACATGGATGAGATTGAGCGTGTTTTTCGAGGCACATTTAAAGAACAGAGGGGGACAGATTCAGCCTGGAGTGCAGTTCCAGAGGAGCAGGTCCCAAAACCACGGTAACGTGCACACATTCATTCATTCAGAAAAAAAAAAAAATAATAAAAAAAAACTTGTTCATAAATGTCATAATTTAATTAAATGTAATGCAAAATGAATAAGTGACTTTATGAAATGCTTCTGTTGAACTGATTTTATTGTTTGATGTGTTTTACAGTCCAGGCTCATGTGCTGGAGATGGTTCTGCATCTGCTTTCTCTTCCTCTGTGCTGTTTCCTGATTCCACACTCTCCTTCATTAAAGCTCATCCACTTATGGATGAGTGTGTGTCTTCCATCAACAACCATCCATTTCTCACACACACTACCAGCAGGTAACACACACAAACACACACACACACACACACACACACACACACACACACACACCAAGTCTGGCAGTTGTAGCACAAAGAACACATTACCAATTTGGATTTTCCCTAGGGTTCAGGATCCCAAGGTTCAATCATTGTAGTTCAAAACTTTGACCTGAATGATACATACTCACCATTGAGTTTACATAGGTAGCTAAAGTTAGGTTTGAGGCAGGTCCAGGTATCCCAAAACAGTATTAGGCTTACCTGGACAAAATCAGGTCAGTTGATGTCAGTAGGCCCTTATCTGGCACCAACCCAAAAATCAGACCCATACTCAATACTAACTCAAGGATCAGACTCATACCTGACACAAACCTAGATCCCTGGCTCCCTACTCAATATTAGCTTAGTGATCAGACTCACACCCCCAACACTAACCTACATAGATCACTGTCTCAGCAATGATCAAACCCATACTCGATACTAACTCATGCCAGCACTAATGTATATTCCTGACTCAGCAATAATCAGAGGGATACTCAGTACTAACTCAAAGATCAGTCCCATGCCCAACACTAACCAACTGATCAGAACCATAAACAACACTACCCTAATGATTAAAACAATATCCAATTATAACCCAGTGATCAGGCACAAAGCCAACACTACCCTAGATCCCTGTGTGGCCCTTGCTTAGGTATTAAATTAATTTAAGGACTCGACTATGACACCCAGGGAATTTCACCCCAGGAAGTTTAATGGAAGTAAAACCCACAAGCACACAGGTACGTTTAGAAAGTTATCCAGAGACGTGAGATTGAGTTCAATTCACAACATTTACTAGGCATTTAAAAAGAGAACAATGCATGTCAATCAACAGTAAAATCAACAGTAAAATAAATAACTTTATTAATACACCAAAAACAAAGTAGACCAACAGTATAAACCAGCAAAATAAGAAACTTGGGATTAAACAAAGCCTTCCAAATAGTAAATGAAAAAACTAAATAACTAACTAAAGAAAATAAATCAGATAGAGGACTTGACCCAAATGAAGTGTCTGATCCAGGCAAAACAGCAGTGGCTTCAAAACAATAGCCAAAGAATAGCTCAACCTTTTTGCTTTGAAGTCTCTGTAGTTACTAAATAATACACCTTATTATGTAATACGTCTGGGATTTTAAGTGATTAAATAATTAAACTGAATTAGATTTAGTGCTGTGTATGATATTGTGTGTGGTTTTGTAACTAATGCTTAATGTTTGTACTTTGAAGCTGTAAACTTACTCAGATTGTTGTGGACACGGTTGCTGGACCATACAAAAACTGCACTGTGATCTTTCTGGGCTCTGAGGATGGACGTGTTATGAAGGTCTTGATGAATTCTGACCTAAACTCCTCCCAAACCACCACATTGCTGGAGGATATACATGTGTATAACCCCTCAAAGTGAGTGTCCTACACATACAAATTATAATCTACACACCCAACACCTCACCTCACACCTCAGCTATGAGGAAAATTCAGTCTCGTTGGTATTATCTAGATTTTGACATGGATGGATCATAATAAATTCATAATACATATAATACTAAGTGATCAGACACATACTCAATGTGTCTAATCTGGACTGGATCAAATAAAAATTCCATCCAGTGTACTACACTCACTAGATACTAATACTAATCCTAAGCCTAAACCTTCTGTCTTAAACCTGGTGCCTTAAACACTATATCCTGCCCTCAGTACCTTGTACCATGTATCCTAAACCCAGTACCCCAAACACTACAACCTCTGCCTTAAACCTGCTTCTGGCCCCCACACCCGGAGTTTACATCCACTAAACCAATTCTGTGTCCCATAAACCCTTTATACACAAAAGATGGTAACTTTACCCATACATCTTGCACCCTAAACGCAATGCCCTGTATCCTTCATCCTCTCTTATACTCTGTACCCTTTATGTTGCCTCTTATACCTCACATCCTAAATCCTGTTCCATAAACTTTAAAACTGTATTTATCTGTGTATGTATGTGCTGCAGGTGTAATGAAGATCGCAGACGTTTGGGTCTGGATCGCAAGGTGTTGGGTCTGGAGATGGATAAGGAGCACCATGCACTATTTGTGGCCTTTTCCAGCTGCATTATCAGAGTTCCACTCAGTCGCTGCACTCAGCAGTTCAGAAACTGCAGGAGGTCAGAAACAAACACATACACACATTACAGTTTGGACTTGATGATCTACACACAGCTAATAACTATGCAAAATCACACAACAGGTATATCTGTGTGTTTAAAGAGATTCAATTTCGCTTCCTTGCAAACATGAAATGCACCAGAAGTTTCCCTTAAAAGCACTACAGTGTGGTAAAATAAAAACATCTCTTACATAGAGGTCGGCACAAGATGGGTTCACTCACGGGTCTCGCATGATCTGTTAAATAATTTGTAGGCGGTATTTATTTTGAAGCACCATGTTCATTGCAGGTAAACAGTCATAGGTTGCGGGCTCATGCGGCAGGTATTATGGCTGGCAGAACTGGGCCAGCTTGGACAATTATTGGCTACTTGTAGAACAAATGAGCTGCAACTGCACTGCAGAGAAAAATCACATCAGTAATCACAAACAGCAAAACACATGCAGCTACAGGACACCCAGTAAACAAGTGATATGAAAGTTATAAAAAACTTAAACAGTTAAAAAACTGTGCTTCATTTTAAAAATGATCAACATTTCGTCAGATAGAAAAGTTGCGACATTAATATGTGAGGTAAACAGATTTTTAAGTTGGAGTAAGAAAAAATATCAGATCTATTCAGCGTTGACTCACATCCTGAGTTCAGGTACTCTAATGGGGTCCAGACATGATCTTGTAAGGAGAACATCTGGGCACAACCATGAGAAATAATTAATTTACAGTTACAGTGATATAGCTGGAGTAAATGTGAGATAGAAAGAATTGGTAGCTATGTTTGAGAAAAGATGAGCTGCTGGATTTGCATTCAAGCTAAACAGACTCTAGAAAAATTAGGGTGCAGGTTTTAGAGGTGGAGTACCCTTGTAAAGTGGCAGATTTCCCTGCAATCCAACACCAAAAATTTAGCAGGTTATCCCCACATGTATGTTCTTGTTTTGAGATCACATGTGGCCCTGAAAGAGTAAAGTTTAAAAATCAAAATGGGTGTTGGAAAAGAAAAATTCCTAACACACTCACTCTGTAAGTACCCTTCACTACAGATCCAGCACTGCATCTATAGACTGTATTCTGTCAGAAAAACTTGATCTCACAGCAGTTTTTACCAAAATCAGCTCTGTGTCTTTCTACCCAGCCACTGTCTCTCCTCCCATGACCCATACTGCATCTGGCTGCAAACAGGAAGTTGTGCTAATGTGTCACCAGGATTTAAGTAAGTTACAATAAAACGTTACAATGATACACCACCATCTTTTTTTCTGATAAGTACATAAACCTGCACAAACAGTAATGTGTCATTTAGCCAGCTGATGCACACTGATTACTGCACTGGTCAAATCACATCACCTGCAAACTAGCTCATTTGAATATTAGAGGGGTTTCAGTTTCAGTTTCAAGTTTATTTGTCATATGCACAACATGCCAGGACATTTATGCATTGAAATGCTTGTGATGAGGCTCGGACAATCACTCTACAGAAAGGAAAAAAGTAAAAATAAAATTACAAAAAAAAATAACTGATATATATTAAATATACAGAAAATACAGATAAAAATACACAAATATATATAGAGAAATGTACACAAATATACAGGCAATATACATTTTAAAGTGACTAAGTGACTGTTATTGTTCTTAAAGTGGCTTAGTGTTAAGGTGTTTATTGTCCATAGCAGAGATGATATGATGTAATAATAATACTGACAAAAAGACTGAGTGAAATGGTAATTGGTGAAGGACCCACAGCTTGTTCAGAAGCCTGACAGCCTGTGGGTAGAAACTGTTCATTAACCGGGTTGTCCTAGCCTGTATGCTGTGAAATCTCCTGCCTGATGGCAGGATGGTGAACAGGCTGTGTGCTGGGTGGCTGACCGGATCTTTTTGGTCTTCCTGAGGCAGCGGGACTGGTAGATGTCCTGTAAGGTTGGTAGTCTGTTGCCTATGATGGCTTCTGCTGTCCTCACCACTCCTTTAAGGGCCTTGCGGTCACAGGCAGTGCAGCTGCTGTACCAGACAGTGATGCAGCCCGTGAGGATGCTTTCTATGGTGCATCTGTAGAAGTTGGTGAGGATCTGAGGAGGCAGACCAAACTTCCTGAGCCTGCGCAGGAAGAAGAGATGCTGACGGGCAGATCTCACGATAGTGTTGGTGTGGAGGGACCAGGTGAGGTCATCAGTGAGGTGTACGCTGAGGAACTTCACACTGCTGACTCTCTCCACTTCGGCTCCATTGATGAACAGGGGAGAGTGACCACCACTCTGCCGCTTCCTGTAGTCCACGATCATCTCCTTTGTTTTGCTGATGTTGAGACAGAGATTGCTGTCATGGCTCCACTCTGACAGAGCGCTGACCTCGTCTCTGTAGGCTGTTTCATCTCCATCAGTGATGAGGCCTAGGATGGTGGTGTCATCAGCAAACTTGAAGATGATGTTAGACGTGTGTTTGGCTACACAGTCATGTGTATACAGGGAGTACAGGAGGGGGCTGAGCACACATCCCTGGGGAGCCCCTGTGCTCAGAGTCAGTGTGGAAGAGAAGCCGTTACCAACTTTCTCCACCTGGGGTCGCTCGTCAGGAAGTCCAGTATCCAGTTGCAGAGATGAGAGTTCAAACCCAAGTCTGTGAGCTTAGGAATGAGTTTGGCAGGGATGATTGTGTTGAATGCTGAGCTGTAATCTATGAACAGCATTCTTACATATGTGTTCTTTCTGTCCAGGTGTGTGAGAGCAGTGTGTACTGTTAGTGTCTGTGGATCTGTTGGAGCGGTATGTAAATTGTTGAGGGTCCATGGTGGCTGGAAGTGTTGAACAGATGTGAGCTTTGACCAGCCGCTCGAAGCACTTCATAACTGTTGATGTCAGTGCAACAGGGCGGTAATCATTCAGGCAGGTGACAGACGATTTCTTGGGGACTGGAACAATTGTGGTTTCCTTAAAGCACTTGGATATCACTGACAGTCTCAAGGAGAGGTTAAAGACGTCGGTGAAAACCTCAGCCAGCTGGTTGGCACCAGAGTTGTAGGCAGCAGCCCGAGCTCTTAGTTTGGCTCGAACCTCAGCATTGATCCAGGGTTTCTGGTTGGGAAATGTTCTGACATTGATTTTTGGTACAATGTCTTCAGTGCAATTATTGATGTAGCTTGTGATGGAGTCAGTGTATTCATTGATGTCTGTGCCAGCCGCATCACGGAACATCTTCCAGTCTGTGGATTCAAAGCAGTCCTGAAGTGTGAAGATGGCCTCCTCACTCCATTGATAGACTGATCTGAGAACTGGTGTCGCCTGTTTAAGTCTTTGTTTGTATGCGGGCAGGAGAACAATAGAGGTGTGATCAGCTTTGCCGAAGGCAGGGCGGGGGAGGGGTTTGTAACTGTCCTTGATTGCGGTGTAGCAGTGGTCAAGAGTCTGTTCTCCTCGGGTGGGAAATTTAATGTGCTGGTAGTATTTGGGCAGAACCTTCTTCAAGTTTGCCCTGTTAAAATCCCCAACCACAATGAAACCAGCCTCAGGGTGAACGTTCTCAAGTCCATTAATGATCTCGTACAAAACTTCCAAAGCACGTGACTTATCTGCCTGAGGTGGGATGTAGACTGTACTGAGAATGACTGAGCTGAAGTCCCTGGGCAAAAAAAGGGTCGAACTTTGACTGTTATGAGTTCAATGTCTGGAGAGCAGTGACTGGCTAGAACCGCTACATCTGTTCCCCATCGAGAGTTCACCATAACACATACCCCGCCGCCTCTGCCCTTACCAGAGTCCAGAGTTCTGTCCTGGCAGTAGATGGTGAAGCCAAAGTGGATGAAGGGTTACAATACAGATCCGATGAGAGCGTGTATAGCAAGAATACAGACAGATTTTGTTTTGTCTGCAAGAAACAGAGGTTCTGAGGGAAGAGTTAATGTGTACCAGACATACTGTAGTAGTGAATACATCCAGTAGTTATAATGTTGTTGCATGTCTTGTTATTGAATAACTACACAGTTATTATAGAGACTAAAATAAAGCAGGACCCTGTGATATTTTACACTTCTTTATTACAGGAAATAATAATCACATTACTGTGCTATGATTATATCTCTTCCTTATGTGTGTATTTGTAGAGGAGGTTTTGAACAAGATATTGCTGGAGATCAATCACAGGTTTCTGACTCCTGTAATAGTAAGTTTCCTCTCTGTCACTGTAATTTTAAACCTTTACAAAATTACGTATTTGGTATGCATTAGATATTACATTACATTTTTGATATCAAAGCTACTTTTAGTGTGCACTGTGTGGCTGTATTATCTGTGAAAGTACAAATATGTTATCAGATCTTTACTGGCCAACAATGAATATTAAAGATCTCAGATCAGGATTTGGTGGATAAACAAGAATAGAAAAATCACTAAATAAGACTGCAGTGCAAAAAAACTAAAATAGAAAAGCTACCACTCCATTTTAATTGTATTGATTTGTAAACAGAAAAAAACTGCAGCATGCATGTTTATTTGATTTCATGCAATAGTCCATTCATTCTCTCTGCTGGGCTGGTGCTCATCAGTGTAGTCATCATTGCTAATGAACTCATATGTTTATTTTGTTTATTTTTTCATAGACACAATTTCAGAAGCAGGAAATCGTAACTCAGAAATGGATTCAACGTTTGGTTTGTAACATATTTCAATACTAAACTGTCCTTAATACAAACATGTGCTAATCTAGACTCGAGATACGTAGTAGTCTTACTAGTAATGAAGTATGAATTGATAATTCCAAAAAAAACTTCTCTTTACTTTCACATTAAATCAGAAAACTGTTAGTGCTTGTTATTATTTATTTTAAGTAGATGATAGTTTCCAGAGCAATGACAAAAAATATTAATTGATTTATTGATTCATTGATTAATTAATTAACTTGTTTAATTTGTTTATTTGTTTGTTTGCTCAAACCATACCACACCTCTGTCTCTCTCCACTCTCCTCTCTCTTCGTTCCTCTCTTGGCCCCAGGTGTGTCGGTGGAAGAAAGGTCCAGCAGCAGTGTCCACTATGTGCTACTCATCATGTTTGTGGTGGTGGCATTCATGTGTGGAGCTTTTCTGTCTGCTATTATGGTTTTGTGTTACTGTGGTCAGCAGAGTCAATTGGCCGAGGCTTCTGACCTGCAGGCCAAACTCAGCCTGGCCAAACTGAGCAGCCTTCTGGAGCCCCAGACCCACAGAGCATCTGAACAGATCTACTGTTCTTTCCTGTCCAAGAACAAGCAGCACAGAGCAGCTGCTGCGCACACAGTGCCTCCCGCAGTTGGCCATGACCACCAGCAATCCCATTTGCCTGCTCCTGACTCCACAACTGAACTGACCATCACACAAACAAAAGCCTTTTGCAGCCAGTGGGAAAAAAACTATAATGTCAGCTACAGCTTGGAGGAGAAAGTACCAGCTCAGCAGGTTGTTCCTTTCACTCAAAGCCTCACTGACAACCAGTCAGCTTTCCTGTCTCTCTCCAACAACCAATCTGCTTCCCTGTCCCTCTCCAACCAGTCAGCTGCCCTGTCTTTCTCCAACAACCAATCTGCTTCCCTGTCCCTCTCCAACCAGTCAGCTGCCCTGTCTCTCCTCAACAACCAATCTGCTTCCCTGTCCCTCTCCAACAACCAATCTGCTTCCCTGTCCCTCTCCAACAACTATTCTGTGTCCTTGTCCCTCTCCAGTGACCAATCAGCTTCTATGTTCCTTACCAACAACCAGTCAGCTACTCCGATTCCCTCCCACTCTCCGATGGAATGGCAGTGTCAGGGTCCAGTGGACATGGCTGCTCAGAGTGAGTTTCTCAAACATGTCCATCAAAAACTTGATGAGGCCTCTAAAAGGGACAGAATAGCTGCTGTGGCATCTGTTCTGTTGCCAGGAGCTACAGGCTCCTCTGACTGTGGAGTCTCAGTTGAAGTGGATTCATACTACAGTTCATCCACCCTGCAACAGGGTCACCAGCTTCCAGTAGAGCAAATAAGGTTATTCTTCCAGTCTGAGTCAGACTCAGAAAAAGAACAAGACAGAAGGAGTGATGGACAGACAGACAGAAAGAGGGATGGAGAAATGAAACAGGAGTCAGAGTGTCCAGCGTGGCATCCGTCTCAGTGTTTGTCTCTAGTAAAGCTGGACAGTGCAGCTGCAGTGTCCCGTAAGCACAGCTTTAACCAGAACAAGCTGGTTCATATCAGCCCCAGTGGGAACACTAGCACTAAAATTAATGGGCAAAAAAGCTTTGGGTTTGACCTCAGTAACAGAGCTGACGGGTTCGACCTCAGTAACAGAGCTGATGGGTTTGACCCAGATAACAGGGATGCAGAATTTACCCGAATTAATGGGGCTGATGTTTTTGACTACAGGTTGCTGCACCCAGGGAGTTCATGCCTCACCCGTCAACACAGTTACAGTGAACAGCCACACACAAACACCCACACACACCGCGCTGCCATCATCCGGCGCGCAGCCTCACTCAAACCACACACACCACCCAAACCACACAGATCCCACAGCAGGCCCCCTCCTGCAGGATTTACCTGCTCACTGCTGCCTTCATCATGAACTGATAATGATTGGTCAAATTTTTTACTAAGGTATATGAACTATAACAAGAAATTGATATTTAATAATTGTATGATTGTAATATATGATTATTATCTAAATTAAAATATATGTTTAAATATGCCTTATTTCATATCTTGTCTTTTGAGAAAAAAATGGTGTGATCACTTTGAGTGTCAGGGTTTTGTATATTCTGATTTATAAACATGTAAAACAAATCCATATACCTTACTTTGTTTCTGTCTGTTTGCCTTTGTTTACCTTCCCTTGTGTGTCTTGCCATGTTTTGTTATTGGTTTGGTCTCTGTCTCCTCCACTATCCTGTCTTCTTGCAGTCTTTTTCACCTGTATGTTTTCTGCATCCCTTACTATGGTAAGTTCTACATCTGTTTGTGCCATATGTCCTAGCTCTACAGATACAACAACAACATATCATGGAATAAATGATCAGTACAAAAACACAAAATGTGACAAAGATCAGTAAAATTTCACAACAGTACAGCCACCACAAACCCAGCCAACGTCCTCTGTTTTGATCCATTGGGGTAACATGATTACGTAGATAGATTAATTAGATTAATACACCCATTAAGATCTGCAGTGGGATCAATAACATTGGAGCAACATTCAGGACCAACTTTCGCACAAACACGTCCTTGTTGAGCCAAAACATAGTCCAATGCAAATTTATTTTGTAAAATCATGATTCTATGTGATTGAAGCGTGTTAGAAATGATACCTAAAGAGTGAGCAGTATCATTCGCTAACTTCACAGTTTCATGAGATTATTCCCTGATGTGATCTAAGGCAATCTTGACTCCATAATTTGGAATGAGTGCACCTAAATATCAAGACCAAAAAGTTTGAGTACAAGTAAAATGTTGATGCATGGATTTGGATCACTGGTTGCTGATGAAAAGAAAGGCTAAAGAGCATGTGTCAAACCCTTTGTACGTGTTAGTAAAAAAAAAAAGAAGAGATTAATGATGGCAACTCAGGAGTTAATGTTGTGTTGCATCTCTGAAATTTTTGCAGTATAATTTGATATCCTTTATGAGAAGGCAAAAGATCTAGAGTACCATTTTTATGTAGCCAGACATTGTCTGTTACCAAATATTTAGTATTGGCAAATGCTTCATTGTCTTTGTACCATGTACAAATTTGGTCATCGCAATTCACTGGCCCACAAGTACTATGAATGTCTAGAGATATTTCAGACATATCAGCCTCAGATTAAAATGACATCAGAACTATGATCTGAGGAAGAATGTGTGAAATTCTGTGGTCTCATTGCTGGTAATAAATTAATGAAAATCGACCATTAAATCTAGCAGGTAATTCACTGAAAGCAGTTCTACCACATAACCAATATGTCCCTGATGGTGCAGGGATATGGCAAAATTCATTTATTGACAGCCAATTAATTCATGGACCATTCTCATAAATGCAGTGTTGTATTGTTTTTGTTGGTCTGTAGATTTTAAATAAATCCGGGTTACCCCGGCTTCTTGTTTTAGGTTAAAGCAGTAATAACAGCATTAAATTGCAATACTCGCTACAATAATGATAATAAAGGTGCATTACAGACAGATGATAAAAAACTGTTATGCAAGAAATTATATTATATAATTATATTATATAATCTATTCCAAGATGGCGCCGAGTATGGCTGCCGTGTTGCGAGCTCCCGCTTACTTTTGCAGTTTTTTGTTGTTTTTGTGTTTGTTTTTAACTCTTTTTGCACTAAATGTTACTGGTTTTATCACCTACAACCGACAAACACTTCTGGAAATCAGATCGTCGATCACTCACTGGAAACCGGACTTTGAGTTCCATAACGCCGATCCTTTGTTTGCTAACACTGGAGAGGCGCCACTCATCTGGGCCGCCCGGCCACGCACCCATCGAAGACGCCGGAAAAGAGGCAAGAGAGCCGGCGTGCTCGTCAGACTCAGGCGCCGTGCCCATCGGCCGCCTCTTCCCACCATATTACTGGCTAACGTGCAGTCCTTGGAAAACAAGTTGTGTGAGCTTCATGCACGGGTCGCCTTCCAGCGAGAGATCCGGGACTGCAGCGTTATCTGCCTCACAGAAACGTGGTTATCCAATGAGGTCCCTGATAATGCCATCGAACCCGCCGGGTTCTCTCTGCACCGCGCCGATAGAACCAAGCAGCTCTCCGGGAAAAGCAAAGGAGGAGGTGTATGTTTTCTGATCAATAACGCTTGGTGTGATCAGAGGAATGTACATTTCATCGAGTATAGGCGGAATAGATCCACCGACGATGCAATCGCCCTGACCCTGCACACTGCCCTCTCCCACCTGGAAAAGAAGGACACATATGTGAGAATGCTGTTTGTAGACTACAGTTCAGCATTCAACACAATCGTTCCTTCGAGGCTCGACTGCAAGCTCCGGGATCTGGGTCTGAACAGCACACTGTGCAGCTGGATCCTGAACTTCCTGACGGACCGACGGCAGGTGGTAAGGATGGGAAGTATCACATCCTACTCTTTGACCCTCAACATCGGAGCCCCCCAGGGTTGTGTGCTCAGCCCGCTCCTGTACTCCCTGTACACCCATGACTGCACTGCTAGACACAGCTCCAACGTCATCATAAAGTTTGCTGACGACACAACAGTTGTGGGCCTGATCTCCAACAACGATGAATCGGCCTACAGAGAGGAGGTTAAAATCCTGGAAAACTGGTGCCAGGAGAATAACCTCTCTCTAAACGTCAGTAAGACCAAGGAGCTGATCGTGGACTTCAGGAAGCAGGAGAGAGTACACCCATCGATTTCCATCAATGGGACTGCGGTAGAGAGGGTCAGCAGCTTTAAGTTTCTCGGTGTTCACATCAGCGAGGACCTGACATGGGCAGTGCACACCTCACAGGTGGTGAAGAAGGCCCACCAGCGCCTCTACTTCCTCAGAAGGCTGAGGAGGTTTGGCCTGAACCCCAGCATCCTTAAGACCTTCTACACCTGCACTGTGGAAAGCATCCTGACGGGCAGCATCACCACCTGGTACGGGAACTGTACTGTTCGTGAGAGGAAATCTCTGCAGAGGGTGGTGCGGACAGCACAGTCCATCACCGGGGTTCAGCTCCCTAACCTATTGGATTTATACACCAGTCGCTGCCTGAGGAAATCCAGAAGGATTATGAAGGACCCCTCCCATCCTAGTCACTGTCTGTTCTCTCAGCTGCCGAGTGGTAGGAGGCTCAGAAGCTTAAAAGCCAGAACCAGTCGGCTCAAAGACAGCTTCTTCCCCCATGCAACCAGGCTATTGAACAGCCAGTAATCACTGCTCTGCCCAGCCCAACCCTTCCCATTACACGTACGTGCACCCACTGTACTCCCGCACTTTACTTGCATAGCTGGACTTTGAATACCTATCCAAAGACAATACTCTCCCCCTGCGCTTCCGCTTAACTTCCTGTACCTTGCACTTTACTAAATACTCTGCCACCTACTGTACCATCTTCTACCTCCACACCTAGTGTGATTATTTGCACATCCACATAGCATTGTAATATCCATTACTATATATAGTATATAGTTGATTACACCCACCCTACATTCCCAGTGCAATATTATATGTCTCGGTGCAATATTATTATTTTTAAGTTATTGTGTAAGATTATATGTATATATTTTAGTTAAATTGGTTTTATCTATTCTTCTATCCTATCTATAGTTTTGTTTATCTATGTGTAAATACTGTTCTCTGCATAATTTGTGGAACTCGCACTCAAGTTTTTCACTCACCTGTGTCCCTGTACTCTTGTGATGTGACAATAAATCTGATTTGATTTGATTTGATTTGATTTGATAAGTATTCATTTAGAATTGTAAGAAAATGACACATCAATTTAGAAGATAAATACCATGAGACATAGAGTTTTAATTAAATGCTAGTTAAAGAGAAACAGTTTTAGATGCTCCTTAAAAGTGAGCACTGAGCTTGACTGTCTAATAAAAGGTTAACTGAGCTCCACAGTTTAGAAGCAGAATAACTGAAAGAGTCTCTCCATGTTTTCTGTATTTTACAGAGGGTATTTGCAGAAGGTCAGTATCTGCAGATCTAAAATCACATGCTGGAACATAAACATGTAAGGGTCCAGCTTGTGCTGCCAGCCATAAGCTGAGGGCAACAACAGCGAGGCCAAGGAACTCCAATTCCCAGAAGCTGGGTTGATTAGGCCCAACCTGGCACACCTGTGAACTCCTCTACTTAAGGCCGTGGCAAACAGTAGCCCTTTATCACACCTTTGTAGAAGGGTGACCGGTATGGTACTGGTGGATATTTAGACACAATGAAAAAAGACAAGACGAGGCCTGGAAAAAAGAGAAATTGCCTCAAAACAACAGAAAGAAGAAAAGAGAGCTTAAAAAGAATAAATTGTCCCAAAACTACTTAAAAGCCAAAAAGGCGGCTTGAACAAGAAACGGCTTCAAATGCCTGCAAATTTTAGAAGATAGATAACCATGGGACGCACTAGCAGAAAAGCTAGGGTTAATTAATCGGTCTATGGTGGAAATAGGATTTTGGTATTATCTTTGTGTGGAGAGGTATGACTGTCTGGATATCTTCATAGCATTTTTATAAAATTTGAGATCTGCTCTTAGATGTATTGAAAATTTCTCTCTCATTACATGATATTGTTCTGTTACTATGTGAATTAAAACATTTATTTCTTGATCCAAATCTCTCATTTTCAGGGCTAGGCTCTTTACTGTTTCAACCACTTAAAAATAAAAAACCTTAAAAATAATGCATAGCCTGGGCTTAGTAAGGCATGGGAATTAGGTAATTAATTAATGGCCACAGCTTAATAAGGCATGATATCATTCCCATGCCTTACTAAGTCATGGCCACAACTTATCATATTTAATGTCCTACTAAGTCATGGCCATGTACTACATTTACCCTGTTTTTACACACTAGTTCACAGCAATCTCACTACGAGGTCCTGTAAAAGAAAATATCTTTTTATATTAATAAACTGTTCCCTGAAAGAGCTGGACCTCAGTAACAAAGACCTGCAGGATTAATGAGTGGGCCTGCTCTTTGCTGGACTGAAGTGTTCACTCAATAAACTGAAGACACTCTTAAATTAA